CCATCAGGTGAACAGGCCACACCAGGTCTCAACCAGAAGCCTCAGCCTGAGAAAACCGATGAGGCAAAGGAAACACCGAATCAGGCCACACCAGGTCTCACCCAGGAATCTCAGCCAGAGCAAACCAAGCTAGATGATGAAGGTGGGGAGAAAGCGGAACCGGCTGAGACTGAGAGCGCACAGCTGGAGGATATTCCCAAAGCTCTTGCTGAAGCTCCCGGTAAACCACGCCCTGTTGCACAGCCGGGTGCTTCGGCTCCCGACCCAAAGGACCAGCCCAAGCAAACAGCTAAAGCTAAAGCAAATGCCAAATCCATGTATGCCGATGGGTCCTACTGGAGGACACTTAGCTAGCATTAGTGCTTGTGGCTCTCATTCATTCATTGCTAGTTAAAACAACCACCACCTGTGCCCTGCCTTCCCTCCATCATCAGGATGAGCAGGTATTTCAACACGACAAAGAACCGCGGACCTAAAGCAAGCGAAGAAGCTTTGAAGATCTGGAATTCCCCGGGGGGCTGTGTCCTAGCAGCGCTCGAGGTTGAACACATCATAAATGAAACATCAATTACTTGCACATGTACACAATGTTAATTTAGAAAGAACCACGTGGGGACTCAGGCGAGAAAATCCACGAGATCCTTGTGGCTGCTGGAGGTGATTTTAGCCAGCTAGAGCTGAGTATCAAAAAACGACTTGAAAAGGAACAGACAATTGAAGTCACTGGTGGATATGTGACTGAGATCTATCTTGCGAACGTACGTTATTGGGACCCGGAAATGATTGAAAACAGCAGACAATGGGCAAAGGCACGAGGCCTTTGGCGAATGAATGCTGTCCATGGAAAAGACGAGTGGAAGCTTCCTTTAGATGAAACGTACAGCTTCAAAACCAAGAAGTCTGAGATTGTGGAAGTCAGTGGTTCGTCTGAAATGGAGGCAGGGTGTCTTTTGTTCAAAGCCATGCATCGTCTTGTGTAGATACACTTTTTGTGCAACACCATTCCCGGATCCCGGATCAGGACCCCACAGGCCAGATGCTCAACTTCACCGTGTCGTCTGAATCTGCCTTGCAGATTCTCGGATGAGTATGGGAAATTGTAATTTGTTCATGCGCAATGAATTATATTTTCTGAATTGTATGATATGATATATATATATATGTAATCTATACCGATTGATCTCTGTCTATAGGAACGGAAGTGCTGCTGGAGCTACATCCCTGAGCGCAATGGCGCATGCAAGCTCCTCACGGGCCAAGACTGCAACCATGCCGATGATCCAACAGAATGATCCTATGAGTCAATTGGCTGCATGACTGACCCTGTTGCCTTTTAAGCTATAAGATTGTGATGCGGTTGAACCTGGTGGCGCTTATTTTTTTCACACCCAGTGAGTTCAAAACCAGGCCAGCTCCCCACCTTCATCGACATTCTGGGCCGCAAACTGGATACCATCGATGAAGTGAAGGACACACCTGGAGACTATAGGTTCAATTCCTTAATTTTGAATTGTCTCTCATCACCTTTTGAAATGATCGAAATATGTTTGAAGGAGAAGCTTGCGGGCTACGCCACTGAGAGGGCCCAAGTGAGCCTCGGCTTCATGAACCTCAAAACACACATATATATATATTATAGATACACGCGGATAGATTAAACTGGCCTGGATTCTAAACTGGCCTGAAGGCTTCTGGCAGATCTGAATGCAGTACGTACAGAAGTTGACAAGATCTACGAAGAGATGATCGGTCAGCAAAAGGAATTTGTTGAATCTGATGCTCCGTCCCAGCCCCTTGTCCTTCAAATATATGGCGCTGTTTTATGCTGAACCCAGATCAAAAGCAACAGTCGGGGGTCACATGTTTATTTTGCAGGGAAATGAAAGCGAAGCTTGTCCAGAAGTTCGTGTCTGCCACCACCATCGACATGAAGGCAAACAATGTGCTGACCCGTTGCAGGCCTGTATAACACAGTCATGGTGTATGTTCTTATCGGTTCCTCTTCACCCTCCTGATATGGAAGCTAGCACTTCACTTCATCATCCATAGGGGGTTCCACAAACTGCCCCCCTGTCAGGAGCTGCAAGGCCCCTAAGAAGGCAAAGGCAGCGGCAGTGCCTGCAGCCTCTAAGGCTGGCCGCAAGAAGAAAGGTAGGAAAGGTCCTGCGAAGGCTGAGCCGGCACCGTCACGCAAGAAGCGCGTGGCTAAGCGTGTGGCTGCAGGTTCAGCATCTCAACCCAAGGCCAAAAGGGCCAAGAAAGCAAAGTAGATTTGTATGTGCACCATCAGCATCGGTTTCAAGTTGCAACTGTTTAGGAACACATGATCTATTGTATACACGGCACAAGCTTCAACAAGCTACAACTTACTCGTTCTCATCTGTATGTGTGTCTCGCCCTTTGCAAGCCGATGCACGCACGGGGCTTTTCAGTGTTTGCAAACACTGGCCAAAAAGACCGACTCAAACACTGCAATATGTTTGCAAGCATTCTTTTGTATCTTTTGTACGCCAACAAAATGATTGTTGCAATGTGCAAAGATGTCCTATTAGCCATGCAGCTACAAAATTAATGCCAGGTGGCAGGGAATTCAATTCTGGCAGTGCAGGCCCCTTCACACTGAATGCTTTGAAGATCTTGCATTTT